AAGTGTGGCTTGGAAACCATTCAATATATAATTTTAAACTACACAGGTCAGAAAGGATTCGAAAAGTCCCACTTTTCTTGGTTTTACTTTATATAGCACCCACATATTTCGCTATTCTGTAAAAATATTTGCTCCGTTTCAGTCAATTGGGTAAAATTGCAAAAAAAAAAAATTACTCTGAAAACATGTCTAAATGCATAAAACTTTACTGAAAGGAGGAAAATGCTCTAATCTTGGTATTGACTGGGCACTTTGTGACAGCTTCTAGGAAATCCACCTGGGTGGGAGCTGACCAGAAGACTTTGGCTGATGGTTCCACTTCGGCAGAATGGATTCTCCTCACTAGTTACATGTTTTAGAAACTTTTGATCCCAAGGTAACTGTACTCGATCCCTTTAACTAATGTACTTTTGGGTGAGACAAGCTTTTAGAGAAAAACATCCTTAAAATTTCAGGTTTGTGTAGAACGCCCTCAGTCTTAAAGACCTCCTTTGAAATTCGTTTTTAAGCAATGCATTCTCTCCAACTTGAAAACTATGTTTTAGTTTATGTTTAAATATGATGAAGTAAGTCGGATAGAGAAAGATAAATACTGTATGATCTCACTCATAGAGAATCTAAAAAAAAAAGAAGAAGAAGAACATGAACTCATAAATAGAACAGATTGGTGGTTGCCAGAGGCAGGGGTCGGGGGTGGCTGAAATGGGTGAAGATAGTCAAATGGTAGAAATACCATTATAAAACAAAGAAGCCATGTGAGCGTGGTGTACCGCATGGTGACTCCAGCTAGTGATACTCTGCCATATATTTGCAACTTGCTAAGAGAGTAGATCTTAAAAGTTTTCATCACGAGGAAACAAAATGTGTAACTATGTGTGGTGATAGATGTTATCTAGATGTATCGTGGTGATCATTTAGCAATATATACAAATATGGAATAATCGTGCCGTGTAAGCGAAACTAACAACGTTATACGTCATTTATATCTCCGTAACGAAGACGACGTGAGCCACATCTCAGATATTTTAACAAAGCACGATGACGTGCGTGAGCCCACGGGTGGACGTCAGTTCATTAGACACGCCCTACACTGGTCAGATCAAATCGTACATGTTTTTGTGTGACTAACTACGGGCCGACGCTCAGCGGTTGTTAGTGAAAACACGTTGCTGTGTGTTGTTAGGAAGCGGACAGCCTTCCTCTTGCTTTTGGGCTCGCTGTGGGCCTTTACGCAACCCGTCAGAAGCCTGGGGCCCAGACGTCCGGTTCCTGTCAGCAGCGCCTTTGAACTTCAGCTCGGCAACAGACTGACCCGTGGGAGGTGCTTCTTCCTCGGACCATTGAACGGGTCCTTCTCTCTTCCTCTCTCTCTCGCCCGTGTTTTTGTGATTGGACTCCCTCTAGATGATCAAAGCTCATCTTCCTAGGATGGTCCACTTTATTTGGAGATTATCTGTGTTTTGCTAATCAATACTAATTGTAAATTAGTAATAGCAGTCACAGAATTTGCAACTGTTCTCCCTGTTACAAGTCAGACAATTTAAAGACAGTGCTAGGCACATTAGTCACTTGAGGTCATCGGGGGGCACATTAATGAGCCGTGTGGGACAGCAAACTAAACTGCCAAACGGGGCTGGAAGACAGCTGCCACGTCCTGGGCCTGCAGCCGCGGGGACCTGTGGGCTCGGGCAAGCCTTTGTTTTCTGCAGCCCGTGTACGTGGGCCACCCGAGCCTAAACGAAATCGTGGTTCACGTGACAGTACTCCAAGACGTCATACGTGCTCTTAAACAGCGTGTCTGTAAGTAACATCAATAAACATAAAAAGTGTTATAAATTAAAACATCAAGATTTACATTGGCCAATGAGCAAAAATAGCCAGGAATTAAAAAGAAAAAAAAATCCTTGCTCACAAACAAAAGGCATGGGGAAATGGCCGTCCTCCCGTGAGTCGAAGGTGGGACAAGCCTTCTCGCGGGCAGTTTGGGAACATGTATCACCTCGCACTGCGATGCGGAAATTTCAATTCCGTGTATTTGTCCTAAGGAAACAGCAGACATACTCAGGATATTGAACATTCTCTGTACTCATTTGTAATAGTGAAAACTTGAAAAGAATCTACATGCCGGTTTTTAAAATTCTAACTAATAGAGAATTGATCAAATGAACCATAGAACGACTCAGTAAGATTAGCAAATTTTGATATTTAATGAATGGGAAAATGTATGTTATCTCCTGTCCAGTAAAGAAAGCCAGGTACAAGATTGTGTTGAGTGTGATCTTATAGAAACACAGGAAAAAAAGATGTTAGCACTAAAATATTAACAGTAATTTTTCTCTAGATAAAAACAATAATTTTTATTTCCTTCTTTATTGCTTTGTGTTCCAAGTTTTCTACAATGACTATGTATCACTTTTATTATAGAATCAAAGTTATGTAAAAAAAAAAAAAAACAAGTATTCTGGTTTTACTCTTTGGTGCCTTTCAAGTTTGCAGTTCCATAACTGGCTTTTGATGGTCGCCATCATCTTCAGAGAAATAATAATAAAGTAACAAGAAATTTTACCTGGGAAAAAAACAGGAAGCTTCATGTGTATGGACAGGTCTCTGAGAATTCGGAAGAAGTTTAGACATGCTTTAGATGAATGTCTAAATGTAGGGACATAAATCTTAAAGTTCTGAATCACTTCTTTTTGCATATAATTCCTAAAAGTTTGTTTCTCTTACATAAACTATTGTCTACCATTATTTCATAGGTTTTACATCTCTTTAAATATTGACTAAGTAATGGCAAAAACCTTCACCCAACGCAGTCTGAGGAATACCTCAAACCTTTTAAGACCCTACAGTTAAGGGAAAATCATTTGGTTGTTATTAAACCCAATAACAACCCTCCAAAGGGAGGGTTGCTTTGGCACACACACACGCCAGCGTGACCAATCAGAAACGTGGGATGGCCAGGTCACCGCCCCGCCCTCCCAGCCTCCTACCAGGTGGACAGTGGCCATCTCCCTCCAGTGGCTCAGGGTCTGTGGCTGTCACACTCAGGGAGACGCAGACCTGGTCCCCTGGGCTAAGGGAGGCCCCCCGAGGACTGGAGAGTACACAGTCCGAGTGCGAGATCCATTCTGGGGACACTCGAGAGCAGGCGAGGGAGAGGACGGGCCCATCTATCCAAACACAGTGGACGGAAGCAGAAACGTCTGTAAGCAAATCCTTGTCACGGGCGACCGACCGCTTCCCTGGCCATTCAATCTATCCAGGTTTATACAAATTGAGTTTTCGTATTGCTAGGCAGACCTGTATTCATGCAGTTGCTACAGATTCATAGCAAACATTAGCTCTACTTATTTTGTCAGATCCAACAGAAGATAAAGCTGTCTCGTTTTGTGGTCAGATGTGGCGCACAGCTGGGGGCGATCTGAAGAATGCCCCATCTGCCCAGGCGGCAGCTCACACCCCTGTCCCTCAACGTCAGCCCCCGAAACACTCAGTTTTCGTCCTCGGCCCACAGAAGTCGCCCGGGGCCCTTTGCTGCCACAGCCTCCCCTGGGCCCGGCTCTGGCCAGGGGCAAAGCCTCCTGGGCTCAGAGCTCAGGCTTTGCCAATCACAAGCCATGGGACCTCGGGCCGGTCCCTGTGCTGTGCGGGGCTCCTTATCTGCCCAGGAGGGGGCAGTCCCAGGACACCTGCGTGCCGTGCCGGGGCCGGAGTGAGTCACTGTGTGTGAGGCACTCGGAACCGCCCCTGGCCCGGTACGCACTCCATGACTGCTGTGAGGCCCACCATCTTCACCACCAGTAGGAGCGGCGAGATAGCCTAGTCTTCTATCCGCTGGCTGGGGGACCAGGGTCGATGACAAGACAGCAGTGTCGTCGATGAATTAGAAAAGGAAAAAAGAAAGGAAAGCCCGAATTCTGGGCCACCAGGCCCTGCGTCAGAACCTGGGCAGTGGGCGGCTCCCTACGGGCGTGACCCCACAGCCCCTCCGAGGCGCTCACGGCCCTCCGCACCCCCCTCCCCCGCCACTGCTCAGCCTTCTCCTCCCGGGGCGAAGCCACCCGTCACGCCTTTGCGGGCCTGGGGTAAAATCAGTGTGACGCCAACGGATTACCAGGCAGACCCCACGCTCGGCCGCGGGCCTCGTCGTTTCTCCAGCACCCCTGAGCCCCAAGTACAGAGTCGCCCAGAAGCTGAGCGAAACGTCCACACCGCCAGCCCGTCCTCCGGGGAGAATGCCAGCATGCGGCGTGCGGACTGTCCACACGCTGCCCGGCCCCTGTCCGACGGTCACTAGGTCACTGGGTCACCCGGGAGGCAGAGCAAATCCCGGGACCAGCACGGCTGCTTCCATCGGCTCGCTGGAAGATCTACCTTCTCAGGATATAATTTTATGAAAATTTAAGCAAAAGGGAGAAAAATAAAACTCCCTCCTGTGCCCTTAAGTGCTCTGGAGGAAAGAGAGGCCGGAGCCTTGGCACTGGCCTTCCCTCTACTCCTCGGGGGTCACAGGCCCGTGGGTCCCCTCGCGCCCCAGAGCGACCTGCAGAAGCCAGACCGGTCCCAAGCTCCGAGCCGGGCAGCAGCCCGTTGTTCAAAATTGTGCATTTTCAAAGGTGCGAGTATCAGGCAACAGAGAACCAGTTCTGAGCCCCGGGGTCTTAGCTGCCGCAGGGAGACCCCCCGCCTGCCGCAGCCATCGCGAGGTCTGCGGGCCGGACGGGGAGTGGGAACATCTGCAAACGGCCCCCGCGGCGTCCCCGGACGAAGCCCCCCAGCCTCCATGGACCGGGGCCGAGCTCAGGGGCGCTCGGAGCAGGTGAAATGTTTAATTATCATCCTCAAAAACGCAAAGCTTACCGCCGGAGCGAAGCGCATCAGCACATGAATCCCAGGCGACGGCTCTGAACAGAACGTCGGTCGGTCGGTCGCCTGAGCAGGACTCCTTACTGCGGAAATAACACCTCGAAGGCAAAACAATGACGACATGACAGCCTGCGTAAATCAAGAACCGCGTGTGGATTTATTTTACAGTTGAGAAAACAGTGGACTTAATTGTGGGAACCCAAATGTACCTTACAATATTAATGACAGAACACCAAGATGTATAATTAATAGTGCATCGCTTGCTTTGTTTTCATTTATTTATTTTTGTTTGATATACATGCATCTGGAAAGATGCAAGTGCCAGTAAAATTTCTCTATTTAAATCAAGCTGCAGGAACTAAATTTTATTCAAAAATTGTGGTTTTACAGTATATACACAGAAATTTAATATAAAATGACAATATAAAAAGTTAAAAGAGAAAGCAAACAGCCAGAAGGTACGAAGAAAGTGGAATAGATTTCAATGGTACGATATGTAACATACGGGAGTTTTTAAGCTGATGCTGGCAATTTACAAGGAAAGAACTCCAACATTTGCCCGTTTTTTTGTTTTTTTTTTTTTCATTTACCAGTGCAGCACGCTATAGAAAGGTCAGCTTGTACCAAAGCTTACATTTGTAAATAACTATAAACCGCAGTATTTTACAGGAGAAAAAGAAATAGCATTTTTACACATTTTTAAATAATAGCTTGCATACTTTTTGTGCCAAAAGTGGCATTTTTTTTTTTTTTCGGCATCCAGAGGGTTTGGGCATAGTGGCAACTGGGGTGTCTGCTATTGTTAGTTTTTTGTGGTCGTTTTGTTTTGTTTTTGTTTTGTTTTAGACGTGTGAAGTGGCTTCCTAACGCGGCGAGTCCCGGGCAAGGCCGTGTCCTCAGCGGCGGCACGCGTGCCTCCCGCCAACCAGGATGCGCGGAAACGCTCACTTTTAATGATTAAGTAAGTTTTGCGTCTGACACGGCTTTTGATCTGAATGAAATGCCTTGAAGCCTTTTTGTCCTGTTTCTCTCTCTCTTTTTTTTTTTTTTATTTTTGAGTGAAAGGCACAGAGATGCGATTGCAGTCCTCACAGGGTTAAATCTGACACTACTAGGTTCTGTGACCTTTATTGTCATGGCAACTTTGTAATTTTAGGATGTCTTTTTGTCATTGTTATTTGTGTCTTTCTTTCCTGCTAAGTAAATGTCTCTGAGTAGTGCGGCCCCACTATTCCCTACAAAAGATAGCTTAACATCAAGAACAGATGTTGAAAATAAAGGTCAGACTTTGACTCACGGAAAAAGAAAAATAACATGCACGATCAGACAAAGAGCATATAAATATAACTACAAAATATGTGTAAGAAAAACCAAGGCCCAGACAGGCAGTTCGGCGACGAAGGACAGGCTGATTTCGGAGGCTCAGGCCGGGCCTCGTGCAGGGCGAAGGCGATGCTCGGTGCGAAGCCGCGGGCCCTGCGCGGCCGGACGCTACTGCTTCTCCAGCTCCGTCACGTAGATGAGGTGGTCCTCCGGGGACTTGCCGTGGGTCTTGCTGAGGTGCAGTTTGACTGCGTGCTTGCTCGCAAAGGTCCGGTTGCACAGCTTGCACTGGAATGTGGAGCCCAGGTCGTCCTCGGCGGCCCCCGCCGGGCCCAAGCCCTTGCTGGCCAGGACTTTCGAAACATTCTGCTGTTCCTGGATCTGGTTGAGGGGCAGCTTGGAGAGGTCCTTCAAGCTGAAGCCCAAGTGCGTCTCGAGGTGATTTATGTACGTGGAAGCAGTCCTGAACTGAGAGGCACAATCGTTGCAAAAGAACACGGGGTGGCCCGTGTCCAGGTTCTTCAGGAACTTCGTCCCCCCTGTCCTCCTCAGCTGGTACTTGACGTTGGCCAGCCAGTGGCTGATGGTGGTCATGGAGAGCCCCGTGAACTTGGAGATGTGCACGCGCTCCTGGGGGCCCAGGTCCGCCATGATGTACTTGCCCTCGGCGGTCTCCCGCAGGCTGGAGGCGAACTGCGCCTGAAGGATGAGCAGGTGCTGCGGGTTCCAGTTGGACTGCCGGCCCTTCCGCTTGTGGACGGGCGACAGCTCGTCCAGCGCCTCCTCGAAGCTGCTGCCGTCAGCGTCCGACTTCTCGGACACGGTGGAGGGCGTGGAGGACTTGGGGGTCAGCCGGCCCGTCAGGTTCTTCACCATGTCCGAGATGTCCATGAGCGCGCTCTCTCGCAGGGGCGGCGAGACCGAGTCGGCGGCGGGCAGCAGGGGCTTGCTCTTGGCCTTGGTCAGGTCGATGGGCTGGTCGCTGTGCTCGTAGTAGTACCGGTCGATGGCGCCGGCCTGCTTGGCGGGGGTGGCGGGACACACGGGCTTGTCCAGCACGCTGTTGCTGATCTTGTACAGCATGGCCAGCGGGTCCAGCGCCGGGCTCACGGGCTTGGACACCTTGCCCAGGTGCGTGTTCATGATGGACTGCAGAGCACTCAGCGGGCTGATGAACGAGGGCTCCGGCGAGTGGTCCGTGATGATGCCCAGGTTGTTACAGCCGTTGGTGACTTTGGCCTTGAGCGGCTCGGTGCCGTTGGGGGTGTGGGCGTCCACCACGCCGTCCTTTTTGGCCTTGCCGGCCTCCGCCTCGGGGCCCGTCTTCGGCTGGGCTTTGCCGCCGACGTCCTCCGTCCTGGGGAAGTCTTTGTTCTCCTTGGCCACGGGGGACACGGCCTTGGCCGGCGAGCCCTTCCTCTTCTCCGCCAGCCTGTCCTCCTCCTTCACGCTGACCTTGCCCGTGACCTTCTCCACCAGCTCCTCCATGGCCGACACGTTGCTCTTGTGGGGCGGCGGCGTGAGGCTGCCGGGCGCGTGCAGCAGCGCGCTGTGCTCCGAGGACAGCGGCTTCACGCCGCCGGCGTAGGTCGGCTGCATCTGCACGCTCTGCACGGTGGGCAGCGGCTTCACGGTGCCCGGCAGCTGGTAGGCCGCGTGGATGCTGGGGTAGCCGCCCCACGAGGGTGCGCCGTTCTGGGCCTTGCTGATGGCCGTGGAGACCGTGTTCTCCAGCGACTTCAGGATGTCCACCCCGCCCTTGGGGCCGTCGTCCAGGTCCTCCTCGCGGAGGTACTGGTAGAGGGCCGCGGGCTCCACCCGCTCGGGCGCATCCTCGCCCTCCTCCTTGATCCGCCGGTCCGCGTCGCCGGCCGCCGGCGCCTTCTCCTTCTCGGGCTCCCTCTTCTCCTCCGAGGCGGTGGACCCCGCCGGCGAGTCCGGCTGCTTTTTGACGTGGGCGGCGGGGATGCGGGTGTGCGTGGTGGGGGGCAGGGGGATGGACTGGATCTTCTCCTCCACCACCGGGTCCAGCACCAGCTGCTTCCCCTTCTTGGAGGCGGAGGTGGTGACCTTCAGGAAGTGGCCGGTGACCATCATGTGGGCGGTGAGCTGCTGCAGGGTGTCGTGGGAGCTGCCGCACTCCATGCACTTGAGGATCTGCGCCTTGCGGGCCTCGAACTGCCAGGTGTAGCTGGCCCCGTTCTGGTAGCCGTAGCGGTTGTTGGGCGTCACGTAGGGGTTGGCGGCCTTCTGGTCCTTGGCCGACTCGCTCAGCGCCGCCTCGGCGGCGAGGCCGGCGGGCTCCGGGGAGCACGGCGACGCCAGGTCCTGGAGCGCGCGCTTCTTCGTGGACGGGACCAGCTTGGCGATGGCGGGGACGGGCTCCTTGAGAGGCACTTTCTGGTAGTGTTTCGTCTTGATCATGTGCACGCTCAGGTCCTGCAGCGACTCGAACGAGTGGCCGCAGTACATGCACTTGAGCACCTTCTGCGCGTCCTCCTTGCCCTCCATCTCCAGCAGGGAGCGCTTGCGCGGCTTGGACCAGCGCCGGGTCTTCTCGGCGTCCTTGTCCCGGTTGTCGTCGCGGTAGTGGCCGGTCTCGTTCATGTGCACCGTCAGCTCCACCAGTGTGTCGTAGGCCGCGCTGCAGTCTC